TTTTTGTTTGTATGTATCTTTAATTTTCATATCTTATGAACTCTTTTGAATCCATCATACCGCACATGCATGAATTCGTTTCTTCTTATTCCTCAAAGACATCGATTAAGAAATACATTTTTTTTGTCATGTGTGTGTGTGTGTGTGTGTGTGCGCGTGTGCGTGTGTGTGTGTATACACACCTGGCGATTTATCAGGATACAGTGGCAAACGAAATCCCGCATCGGCGGTGATTCGTCATCCCGTCCCGATCTCCCTCGTCCCTGCGCACCCTGTGCAGGCGCAATTATAAGCCGGCGCCCTCTCGACGTCGTTCGCGAGATCGGATAACGGGTCTCAGATTATATCAGTGTATCACAGTCCGCGGATCCGATGCGCGAACACCACGATCAACCATTATTATCCCGATCGAACACACTCGCGTCGCGTGCCGCACTTCTCGCCATCGTGCCTCGCATCGCGGCGTTCATTCATTCATGCTTGGCTCGTGACGGTGGTTCCCCGTGAGAGCGCACGTGGGTGCCTACCCACCCTTCCCGCGATCACTTCGTTATATATCATAATATCACAATGGACGATTTTGTTTGTTAATAATCTCCTGGCGTTTACGATACGTGGTAGTAATCTTAAGCTTAGAAATCACAGTCGCGAATTGATAATTGGGTCCTCGTGCGTGCCCCCACGCGCGGTGTATCTCGCGACGTCCTCGCCACGTCCACGTCGTTCACTGGGCATACTTCCTGCCTCTTTCGATGGCTTCCACCAAGGAAGAAGAGGAGCTACTCTCTCTCCTCTTCTGTCCCTTCCTCTCCGATTTCCCTATCGCACGCCGAGGACGATCTTCGTGGAGTCGATCAACGCGCGCACACCTCCACGCTCTCCGGATTTCCGCGTCGATGACGATAACGATGACGATAACGCGAAGCTGGCGCGAGCTCTCGCCGGCTGTTTATCCTCTCTTCTCTCACTGCGGTTTGCTGCGGACGGATTGCTGCGTCTTCCTCTCCTCTAATGAGCCCGATCGCCGATCCCGACCTCGGCGGCGTTATCGATCATCCTCGCGCATATGTTCCCCAATTCCCCCTTGCGGAAACTTTCCTCGCGTTCGACACACAGGGATTCTCCTCTCTGCCCGAAATGTGCTTTCCGTTCTCGTCTTTGACTTCTCACTCGTGGGATAAGGAGAAGGACTACCACTCGACGTCGTCGAGCCGCCAAACGACGCGACTACCGAGTTGCGGGAAAGGTCGTACGACGGCAGCCACCGATCTCTGCGTTGCTGCGTCGCCGAGGGTTGTCTCTTGTCGTTGTCGCAGCCCTCGATTGCGTTTGATCGCCGCTATTACTGCTATTGACTCTGATCGACGATGGCTCGTATTGCTGTCCGTGCCGTGGCGCGTGTCCGCGCGCGAGCTCTTCCGCGGTGTTGACTTCCTGGGGGAGCGCGCGGCGCACGATGCCATCGTCCTCCCTGCGCCCGTGTCGATCGCCGACTGCGTGCCGGCACACACGACCACCTCGTCTCACGAAGACGAGGTCCGCCGAGGCGCGTGCTCTCAGTAGTCGCTCAGTGTCGCGACGGGGTGACGCGACAGGCGACTTTCCACGCGGGTTCTATCGTTGGATCGTATCGGTTGACCGTTGTCCACCTCTTCCTCGCGCCGACGATGCCTTGGGGGCTGCGTCCGAGGTTCGCCATAGCTCTACCTCTCTCGTTGTCCTGACGATCATGGAGCAGCATTGACGGGCGCCACTCTGATAATTCAGAGTCGTGAATCCGTACAAGATGTGCAAGGTGTCCGAGAAAGGGAGAAGTAATAGGAAAAAGAAAGTATCTTTTTGATATTCTCTTGATCTTGCAGTGAAGTAGCACTCTCATTAACATTCGTCTCCAAGAATCCGAATTGAGTTTTCAGAGCATCACCACGCGAATCCTTACGCGATGACACGTTCACCTTCGGTCACGACGACGTAAGTTCAATCGCGACGTGCTGCTCTTCTTCCGTTGCACTCTCACTCGATCGCGACGGCTCGTCGCCGTCGTGGTGAATGCGAGCGCGTCACCGTTCGACGTCGCACTCTCACCGCGAATGAAACAGGATCTCGGTAGTCGCTCC